CCCCCCTGCTTGCTCCGCCTCTCTCTCTTCCCCCCACTCCTCCCGCACTCCCCCCAACCTCCCTGCACCCCTCTCCACCATGACAAACCCCTCATCAACAATCATCCCCTCGTTCCCTCCCCCTCCTCCCCTCGCCTTTCCCCCACGCCCCTCCCCCATACTCCTCCCCCCTTCCTCCCCATCACTCCCCCTCCCCTCCCCCTCACTCCCACTCCCCCCTCTCTCCCCTCCCATAAACCTCGACGACAGGGACATTTGCGCAGTACCCTCCAAAAACACCGGGCTATTACTGTCATTACTTGCGAGAATCGACCCTCCGACGAACCCCCTGGCAGAAGCATGGTCTAGGAAGCCACAGAAGGCCTTGTTGGTCTCTCTAAGAAGGCAAGAGCTGTGGTACTGGCGGTGTGCTGCGAGGGGCACGGCATCCATGGCTACTACCCGCGTGTGGCGGCGGCCTAGGGAGTCCTGCGGGGATGTGTCGATGAAATCTCCCGCGAACTTGAAGGTTTTCGCATAGCTGAGGGCAGGAGAGTGAGGAGGGGAGTTACGGGGGAAGAGTAGGGGGAGGAGGCCGGAGGGGTTGGGAAGGGTGATGGAAGGATGGTAAGCAAGCAGGATACGGTAAGGTACCTCAACCCACTGTATCTGCTGACTCATCAATAAAGATTTGCTGACTCGATCCGTCAATCTGCTGACTCACCCAGTGTATTTGCTGAACCGCTTGTTAGGGTTGGTTCGCCCAACCACGGAACCTATGGCGAAAGTCTCTACGACGGCGGAATGACGGCGAAATGGAAGCGCGTGGATGATTCTAGGTGAAACGGTGCGCATTTTGTGTCTTGCCTGACTATAAAACTGCTTGTACTCATTCTGGAAATCATACCAATCAGATTCTGAAAATTGCTGAAGTGTGTATTGACAACTTCAAGCAGAGCTGCGCATATCATTGGATTCGGGAGATCGTGGAGAACACGATGGGCGATAGCAAGTAGACTATTGCCGACTAAGGTGCTTACGATACTAAGAACTGGTATCAGAGCTTGACGAACGGGCTCGTCGATCGTCGCGAATTCATTTGGTGCGCTAAGTGAAATTAGTGGAGAAGAGGAGTTGTTCACGCCTACGCTATGGGAGACGAGGCGAGTTCGGGTTCCAGTGTGAGTCTTGGAGACCCGCAGTTGAAGGCTCTTCTCGAGGCCCTTGCGAGTGGCCGATTGGTGGCGAAACCGACGATCGGGCTCAGTGAAGCTCAGCGCTTCAATGGAAGCAACTACAACGTGTGGCGAAAGAAGTTCATTCGAAGGGCAGAGGAGGTGGACCTCTTGCCGTACTACCGTCCCGACGAGGAGACGATGGAGGGAGTTGCGCCTTCCGCGACAGATAGGAAGGAGAAAATAGCGGCGTTCAAAAAGCAAAGTAAGCAAGCTTTCTTTCAGCTTTGTCATTCAGTTGCCGATGGAATCGCGGTGGATTTGGACCAGTTTGCAGGGGAGCTGAACTCTGCACAGAAAGCGTGGGAGTACCTGGAGTCCACATACATGGGTACGAACGATGTCAACAAGAAGGCGATTAGGAAGCAACTGCTGATGCTGAGCATGGAGAAAGGCGAGAAAATCATCACCTACATCAACAGGGCGAAAAGCTACAACGACGATTTGCGGGTGATGGGAGCCGCGGAGACGGAGAAAGCGATGATCGACTATATAGTCGATGGACTGCCTAAGGAGTGGGAATCCGACATCGGTATGTTTACGTACCAACCGCCGGAGAGTTTGATGAAGCTGCAGGAGATTCTGCAGTCGCTTGAGACGGTGAAGGAGATGAGGAAGAAGAAAGCAGCAGCAACAGTTACAGAATTCGACGAGGAGAGGCCGGGTATGGTGAATGCCACGAAGGCGTTTGGAGCATGCTACCAGTGTGGAAAGAGGGGACATAAAGCGATAAACTGCTACGAAAATCCTCGAAGCAGAAACTACAAGGGCAAAGCTGTGGAGAATGATAAAGGAGAAAATGCAAGAGCGGAGTGGTAGCAGAAACGAGGTTTTGGCGGCAAGTGTGATTATTGTGGGCGTTACGGGCATCGTGCCGCAGAGTGCTACTCCAACCCGAATAGCATGAGCTACAAGGGTCCGTCGCAGCAGAGGAATGTGGCGACAAAGGTGAATGTAGTGGAAGCGGAAAAGGAGGATGTGATTTTGGGAGGAGCGCATCTCGCGAACGTGGTGCGTTTACCGAAGGAGGCTCAGACAGATGGACGTGAGAAGAGGGCGTGGTTCATGGACAGTGGATGCACGCGTCACATGACATTCAGGTCAGATTGGATGGAGAATGTGAGGGAGTCGAGTGAGGATTATATACTACAAGGTAACAGTGGGAAGTTACCAGTGACAGGAGAGGGTGACGTGGTGCTGCAGAGTCCGTATGGAGAGATGAGACAGGAGAATGTGCTGCTGGTTGAGGATTTAAAGGTGAATCTGGTCAGTCAGTCACAGCTTGATGACTTGGGGTGCAAGATATTTTATGACAGAGGTGAGGTTACGGTGTTTGGTCCTGAGTGGGAGAAGTATGCGGATGGTTATTTCAGTGACGGGTTCTATGAGATGAACTTGGTCGCGACGAATAATACGGATGAGATCTATGAGGATCCTGAGTATGGTGCGATGGGAGAACTGGAGGAGTTATTGACTAAGGTTGATAAGAGCGAGGACACGGATGATACGGGAGCAAGTGTGGAGGCAGCAGTGAAGCAGGAAGAGGAGATAGTGATCACGGAGGCAGCAGCAGTAAACGGTGGAGATGGAGACGATGTCAACACCTTTGCAGCAGCGATCGTGGTTGAAGATGAAGCAGTAAATGCGAAGTGTGTGGGAGTTGAAGCTGTGAAAGGGGACATCATGGTGAAAGGATCAAAGGCGAATGCAACTGCAAAGGGGCAAGTGCTTAAGGAGGATGAACGCGATGAAGGGTACGAGACCCGAGAGGTGTTGGGTGTAAAGATGCCGAGGAGAAGCGAGAGGCATAAGAAAATCTCTCAAGGTTTGGATGTCAAGGCGCTCAACTTCAAGACACGTAAGCAGAGGTTCAAGGTGCAGGAGCTGCAGGGGAGCGTGAAGCCGACTTAGACCCTGTGAAGGCTACAAGGAGCAGGGGAGGAGTGCGAGTGGAGTTCGTGGTTGACGAACCATAGGGGAGATTGTTAGGGTTGGTTTGCCCAACCACGGAACCTATGGCGAAAGTCTCTACGACGGCGGAATGACGGCGAAATGGAAGCGCGTGGATGATTCTAGGTGAAACGGTGGAAATCGGCCTACGGCGTGAGAAGGGAGAGAGAAATCAAGAAGGAATGTGTGAGAAGGTGGAAGAAGCATCGAGATTGAAGTTGGCGAAGGGAAATTGTGGTTCGAGCTCGAGGGGTGTTCGAGAAGGTTCCAGATTCGGTCTTGAGGAGTGTTCACCGAATTCGGTTCGGTTGCGTGTGTGACTCGAGGTGAAACGAAGCGCACGCGGTTACTTGGGAAACAAGTGAAGTTACGAATCGCATTTTGTGTCTTGCCTGACTATAAAACAGCTTGTACTCATTCTGGAAATCATACCAATCAGATTCTGAAAATTGCTGAAGTGTGTATTGACAACTTCAAGCAGAGCTGCGCATATCATTGGATTCGGGAGATCGTGGAGAACACGATGGGCGATAGCAAGTAGACTATTGCCGACTAAGGTGCTTACGATACTAAGACCGCTCGGACCCCACAATCTCAATCGTCTCGTTGTCCTCCATGGCGGGCAGAAAAAGCATTCCGACGATAAGCTCCGGGCAGATGACGAAACGAATCTCCTACTGCACGCACCCCGCTCCCAGCGTGCCGTCGCCCAGAAAGGCATTCGCAAAGTCCACCTGCAGACAGCCCGTGCCATCGTCCTCTATTGTGTCGCGCTCATGCACCTGGTGTTGCATGGGTGGGTGAAAAAGCTATGTTGGATTATACGCTCTAGACCCTTTGCGTTTAGCGTATCTACGCTAGCGTGTACACGCAATACGCTAAACGCTAGCAAATACGCAATACGCAGCCATATTTTTTTTCGGGCAGCCCGGAAAAGTAAAATCGGGAAAAGATGCGGATTTTCTTGGTGAACATTTCGCTGGAGTCGAAATGCAAATCCGCGGTCTATGCAAGCTGGGATCTAACTTCGAAGTTTTCAGGCACATCTGGCTATTCAAATGTCGAATTTCAGGTCCCATCTAGGCATTTGAACCCATCTCCTCTACCGCATTGAAAACCATCTTATCTACGAACTCCAACCTATCAAAATCGAACCCCCAACAAACCTCTTACCAGCCAGCCCAACTCCTAACCCGTCATTCCTACCTTGCATTCCCGCTTGCAGCAGTGTCCCCGCGCGCGCACTCCAACTTGAACAGCCTCTCCAACACTACTCCCTATAGCTATGATGTCTACTCCCCGCCCCACCCCACCCGCCGATCGGACTCAGGAAAATGCTAGGGCACGTCTTAGTGAGATGTTTTTTCCACCGATAGGGATTTTTTCCACCCTGCCCGAAATGTTTTTTCCCTGCCCGAAAAAGCGTATGCCTGATCCGACCCTCAAGCGTATGGCGTATACACGCTAGCGTATATACGATACGCATATATACGCTAAACGCGTATAATCCATCATAGTGAAAAAGGAGAGTTGGGAGGGAGGAAAGGGTGGAAGAGGTTTGGGAGAGAGGTCATGTCATGTGAAAAGGAAAGAGTGGTGCAAGAGCCAACAGGTGTGATATCATTGGAAGCAGTGTACATATGCCCCCTGTTTTACCTCGCACCTATGGTACCTATCTCACCCAAACCTCTCTCCACCCTTCTCCCTCCACCCAACACCGCTCTTCCCTCCAACATCCCCTTTCCCCCCAACACCCCTCCCCCCTCCCCCCCAAGGCCCTTGGCGCTCACCACCAGGGGGCAGAGCGGAATCTGCCTAGTCCCCCAGAAGTCCGCGTCAGGAGGAGAAGGAAGCGTCCCCCAACTCCCCTCCAAGCTCCTGCTGCTCCCCACACTCCGCACCTGCCCCCCTCCTCCCTCCCCCTCCTTCCCGCACGACCCTGCCTGGCTCGGATCCGAGCCTGTTGTTGGACCTGGGCTTCGGTTGGAGCTGCTTTTCTGCATGGGCGAGCTTCGGGAACCACTCTGGTAACCACTGCCGTAACCGTTCCCATTGCCGTTACCACCGCCGTTACCACTGCCCTTACTACCGCCACTACCGTTACCACGTCGCCCACCCTGCCCACCACTCCCACCGCTTCCAGGCGGCGAACTCCCAGTGCCTTGTCTCATGTTCCCACTTCCCCGCCCTCCACCCTCCCCTGCCTCCCCACCCCAGCCATATACATCCTGCTGCTGCGGCTGCTTCATGTGGCCTGGAGTGTCAATAACAGGGGCGTTGAACGTGTGGATGGCTGACGGGGCGGCAGCAGCAGCGGGTGTGACAGTGGCGGGGGTGACAGCAGTGAGGGGCAGCACCTTGCGCTCGTAGGAGACGGTGCCCTGAGGCATGGAGGCGACGACTCGGCGGAAGTAGTGCAGCAGGCACCGCAGCTTCTCCTGCTCTTGCGGCCACCCCTCGTATATGCCCCTGGGGTGGTTGAGGACGAAGGGAAGGGGAAAGGGGAGGAGAGAGATGGGAGTAAGAGGCAATGCTGTGAGGCATGGAGGAGAGGACAGGCCGGGTGGGAATGGTGCAGCAGGCAGCGTAACTTCTCCTTGCACTGCGCTGACCCTTGCGGATGTGCCCCTGGATGTGCGCAACCGATGAGAGGATGCGCATGGGGCGAGTGGACGGTACGAGGGATGAGAGGGACGAGAGGGTCGGAAGCACGTCGTAAGGAGCGAGATGGGCGAGAAGAGGCACAGAGGCGAAGGCAGATGCAATAATCTTCCCGTTGAGAGCGCAACGCCAAGGCACGCTGCATGCCCCATCCAGACCAGACTCATCAAGCCCACCACCGTGTCCCCATCCCCCCATCCCCCCATCCCCCCATTCTCCCCCCTCTCCACCTCCCCCCCAGTGGCTCACTCACCCATAGAGGCGGTCAAAGTTGATCTCAGGCAGTCTCTCCTGCGCGCGCCCGGCCGTCGGATACACGCACAAGAACGCGCCCACCAACAGCGCCGCTGTGAGCTCCTGCGTTATAAGCACAAGCCCCGGCTGCTGCGGCCTCAGCAGCTGCAGCGTCATCTGTGTTCCCCTCCGCCAATTCTCGCTCCCCCCGCTGCTGCCGGACTGCGCTGCGGCTTGGGCGGCCCGTGCCACGCTCCGAGCCTGCTGAGAGACGAGGCTCGGGAGATGGAGGGCGAGCAAAGCCATTCCGGGCAGCGTGGAGAAGAAAAACTCCTGAGATTCCTCCTCCGGAAGAATCTGCAGGTACGTTTGGGGAAAATGGCAGAGAAGGAGATGAGAACAACGTTCGAGCAGCGAGGGGTGAAAGTTCGTGACTGACGGGACAGTAGCAAATGCACTTTTATATTATTACTGATTCTTCATAAGATTGCCCGCATATCAGATAAGGTCGGCGACCCACCTCGTCTAAGAATTCAGCGAGGCCTTTTGCGAGCCCAAGGTTACCATCGCTGAGACTCAGCTGCCTGCGAATGTCGATTATTGCGTCCGCTAATGTCTTGCCACTTGTCACCTGCCACGTGGACAGGAAAACATCGACATGGGGAACACGAGCGTGAGAGAACGCGCGAAATAACGTGGGAAATTTGAGTCGGGATGAAACTTTGAGAAATAACAAGCGTCAAGCTGATGCTGATTCCACCGTGCGCACCTGGCTAGCGGCGGGACCACGGGCAATGGCGGCGAGCGCGTGAGCCACGGTGCCCGGCCACGCGTACTCTCTCAGTGTGCTGCTCACGCTCGCGCCGTTGTTGTTATTGTTGTTGTTCGTCTGGTTGTTATTATCTTTCGCCGGCTGGTTACTGCTGTCAATCACCCCAGTCGCACAGAGCCGCGATGCTGCTGTGTTCGCCGCATCGGTGTTGAACCCCGCCTGGCCGGCACCGCTGAAGCCGTAACTTGTGCCGGCACCGGCGACGCCTCCGGCAGCTACGCCGGTTGTAACGCCGGCTTCGCGGCTCCCGCCGAATCCCGCGTCGGATGGTAGCGTTCTCAGGCTCGGCGCGGGGCCGAAGGGGAGGAAATACGAGAGGTCTCTCTTTTCTGGAAACATGGCGGAATGTGTAGCTATTGAAGGGAAAGCTAAACAGATTTGAAAGCTTGCTATGGCGAGCTTCATCGAGAAAACCAACGGAGGTTATTGGAAGGCTTCGTGTTGGAACGTCCTTAAACTGGAGAGCGATCGGTGAAGAAAGACGATATGCAGAGATGATAAACTACACTATGATCAGCCCATATCAAGAATAATATTTATCTTAAGGCAGGAAATTCACACTTTGACGCCTTTTGCATAGATCGATTGACAAGAAGGTTGATGGCAAAGAATGCTAACAAGAGAGCCAAGCTAATGAGAGTCGAGATAAGACACCATCTCGGTTTGTCCACAATCCACGCATGAAGCCTGGGCATATTTTATCAGACTATTTTAGTCTGGTTGTCTCAAATTTCAGACCTTCTCTTCTGATATTCCGGATTTTCCAGAGCTGGCGTTTTTCCAATAATGAGTGCTTCAGACAAATGTTCTTCTGAATATTGAGAAAGTCAGAGTACAGTACGTGCTTACCAAATAATGAGTCCCTTGCAGAGGTGACTAATTAAAAAAAACCAGTCTGATGTTCTGGGGCTCTGAAATTTTTTAGTCTGGGGCATATTTCCCAGCGAATGGCTACTCTGATTTTTCAGGTTCGGCAAAAACACAAGTCTGAAGTATCCAGATTTCACAAGGCAAAATCAGACTTATTCATTGCCTAACGTTATCACATCGTGAACAAATTGTCAGAATGTAATTGTATACATTACTCTATAACTTCCTGTAGTGTAGACTTTGTGTAGTTATCTTGTTTGTTGGGTGGTGCACCTTTCTTCTCATGCTTGTTCTTTCATATTTGTACCCTTGAGCCTATAGTGAAACCCCTCCTTGCTTTGGCAACCCTCTCGATACTTCCTTGCCTAGCCTAAACCCTAGGTTCCTTCTCCTAAGTTAGGAACCTATTTTGACATGCTATCAGAGCGGTTACTTTCCTAGGACCTTTCTCAATGGGCCCACTGTTCGCTTCCGCTGTTCTTTCAGTCGCGCGCTTCGGGCGCGTGACTATTTTCCTGCCTGTCGCGCGCCCTGGGCGCGCGACGTTTTCTGCACGCCACGCGCCCTAGGCGCGCGGCGGTTTTCTGCCCGCTGCGCGCCCAGGGCGCGCGACGGTTTGTTAGCACCCGTGCGCCACCCCATGCCGCCCCGCTGCACCCGCGCGCCGACCCGTGGCACCCGCGCGCGGCCATGTGCACCCGCGCGTCGCCCCGTTCACCCGCACGCCGCCCCGCTGCACTCGCGCGCCGCCTCGTGCACCCGCGCGCCGCCTCTATGTAGCCGCGGGGCAGCTTCTTCCCCGCACCCCCCCCCCCCCCCCCCCCCCCCCCCCCCTTGTCAAAACATATATGCTTATGTTGTTTAGGCTATATGGGTGTTAGCACTAGGGGGTACAGAATTTCACTCGATGTTGATCTTGTACCCCTCCCCTTGACCTAATGACCATCCTATTCTTCTCGACATGGTATAGAGCGGGTCCTTCATAAGGACCATTTTTTAGAGGGCCCACCGTTAAGCATTTTTTCCAGCCCTGAAATCTACCCGTTTTAGCCCGCGAACCGCCCGAGCGTAGATCGTACAGCCCGCGCCAGGCCCGTTTAGCCCGCGAACCGCCCGAGCGTAGACCGTACAGCTCGCGCCAGGCCCGTTTAGCCCGCGAACCGTCCTCGCGTAGCCCGTACAGCCCGCGCGTCGCCCTTGCGCAGCCCATACAGCCCGCGCGCCGCCCGCGTATAGCCTGTACAGCCCGCGTACGACTGGCACGCAGCCCGTACGGCCCGCGCCAGGCCCGCACGCAGCCCATACAGCCCGTGCCAGGCCCGCACGCAGCCAGTACAGCCCGCGCTAGGCCCGCACGCAGTCTGCACAGCCCGCACCAGGCCCGTGCGCACCTGCCCTGCCGCCCGTGCACTTGCACTGGCCCTACACCTCGCCGGCCCGCTGTCCCTACCACCCTACTACTGCATCTGCCCTACTTCTACTGCACTACTGTCATTGCCCTGCACACTGTAGTGCCAGCAAGCGCGACTGCCCTGCCCTGCCTGCACGTGTAAGCTCTGCCCCGTGCACCTGCCCTACTCCGTGCTGCTGTTCTGCACGCACGACTGCCCTGCCCGTGCACTGCCCTGCTGGCCGCACCGCCCTGCCCTACTGAGCGCCGCCCTGCACTGCCCTGCTGGCCTGCACCGCCCTGCATTGCCCTGCACTGCTGGCTTGCACTGCCCTTTACTGCTGGCCCATGCCGCCCTGCCCTACTGAGCGCCGCCCTGAACTGCCCTGTTGGCCTGCACTACCCTGCTGATCACTGCCTTGCTGGCCGCCCTGCACTGCACTACCCTACTGCACAGCCCTGCTGGCCGCGCCGCCCTGCACGTGCTAGCCGCACCGCCCTGCCTGAGCGCCGCCAACAGCCGCGCCACCTTGCCCTACTGACTGCCGCCCTCCCCTACTCCGCGCTACTGCTCTGAGAGTCGCCCTGCTGGCCACCGCCCTGCTTTGCCCTGCCTGCGTGCTACTCTGCTGCTAGCGCGCCAGACCGCTCTGCCCGCTATGGCCACGCTGAGTGTCCTCACGTTCGATCCGGAGGGCCGCCCGATGGAGTTCGATGCGTGGATCGACGACCTACAGCTGCTCTTACTGAGCGATTCCAAGGACGGAGTCTCACTGTTTGACCTCACGTCTTGCGCCTCTTTCGCCCCTGCCACAACAGCTGACAATACGACTCGCTCACTGTGGCTTACTTGTGATGCTGCTGCTTGCTTAGCCGTTCGTAATCACCTGCCGTTTGCCAAACGCGCTCACTTCGGACAGCACAAGACTGCGAAAACACTGTACAACACTGTAGTCGTTCGTTACTCCTCCCCGGCCACTGTTGCTCTAGGCCGCCTTCACCTGCCCTACCTCTTCCCAGAGCTGTCCGCCTTTGCCACAGTAGCCGACCTCGTCTCTCACCTTAGTACTAGTGACACTTGCAACCGCGTTGCGCTTCCCGCCAAGTTTCTCACCAAGAACCCTCCTCCCATATACATCACTCTCTACTTCATAGTCACCCGCCTCCCTGACTCTCTTAGCGCTATCAGGTACCTCCTTCTAGCCGTTGACCCCACCACCCTCACTGTCGACCTGCTCGAGAAGCACCTCCTTGCAGTTGAGACTAGCATAGTCGCTGTAGGCGCTTCTCGTGGCACTCCTCGCACCCCCTTCTTTGAGGGGTGTTCGCCCTCCCCCCTTCTCCCCCTTAAGTCGCCTCTGCTGCAGCTGTTGACTACCTTCGTGTTGAGGAGGTAGGAGCTGCGCTTGCCCCTAGTGGGAGGCGCCGTAGCGGCAGGGGCAGGGGAGGCAGGGGCGATAGGGGCGGTAGAGGTGCAGGCGGTGGTGGGGGCGGTGGAGGCGGTGGAGGGGGCGGCGGTGGCGGAGGGAGTGGTGGTGGGGGTGGAGGTGTATGTGGCGGCAGTGATGGCGGCAGTGGCGGTAGTGGCGGCGGCACTGGTGGCGGCAGCGGGAGTGGAGGCGGTGGCAGTGGTGGCGGCCGGGGTGGTACGAGTCAGAGGGGAGGCCTGGGCGGTGGTCAGAGGCATCAGCAGGGTCACCTTTCGCCCCAAGAGCTACGTGAGTGGTTTGCTCAGAGTGGGGCGGCTGGGGGTAGTGGTCCCTGACCATATGTCATTCGCACAGGTGACCGCACTGGTCAGACATGCGGGAAGCTCCACACCCAGTACCGTCGGCCTGGGTCGGGTCTGTACACACTGACTACTGCGCCTCCACAGGTAGTTGCGTTTGCGTCAGCTTGCGGCCCCCTGCTCGTGTCGCGCCCTGTCGCACCAGACGCTCCTTTGGCACCACCGCCTTGGTCACCCCTCTGTGGCACGCCTCCGTGGCATGCACTCCCGTCTCCTTGTCTCTGGTCTTCCGAGGTATCTGCCTCCCCTCCCACCCTCGCCTGCCCCTCCCTGCCTTCCCTGTGTCAAGGGGAGGCAGCGCGCTGCTCCTCACTCCTCCTCGTTCCCCTCGACAGAGGCTCCCCTGCAGACTCTCCACCTGGACGTGTGGGGCCCAACCCGCGTCCGTGGATAGGGCCACGAGCGGTACTTTCTGCTGGTTGTCGACGACTACACACGTTACACCATGGTCTTCCCCTTGCGCCACAAGGGGGATACCTTGATGTACTGACCCTTTGGATCCGCGCTGTTGGTCTCCAGCTCCGCGAGCGGTTCGAGACGGACCTTCCCGTCCTGCGGCTGCACTTTGACAGAGGTGGTGAGTTTTCCTCTGACCTCCTGCGGGACTTTTGTCGTGGGGAGGGCATTCGCCAGACGTTCATGCTTCCGGCCTCTCTGCAGCAAAATGGGGTTGCTGAGCGCCGCATTGGCTTAGTCATGGAGGTCACTCGTACCTCCATGATCCATGCGGCTGCCCCCCATTTTTTGTGGCCGTTTGCAGTCCAGTACGCTGCGCATCGGCTCAACCTCTGGCCCCGTGTCTCCTTGCCGGAGACCTCGCCCACACTGTGTTGGACGAGAGAGGTTGGCGATGCGTCGATGTTCCAGGTCTGGGGATGTCGTGCTTTTGTCCGCGATACCTCCATAGACAAGCTCTCCTCCCGCGCCGTTCCCTGCGTCTTCCTTGGCTTTCCCCCTGACGCGCCTGGTTGGCAGTTTTACCACCCCACCTCTCCCCGTGTCCTGTCCTCTCAGGACGTCACGTTTGACGAGTCGGTTCCCTTTTACCGTCTCTTCCCCTATCGCACTGCCCCTCTCCCTCCCTCGCCGCTCTTCCTCGCACCGAGTCCTCCTCCGGTAGACCCCCTCCCCCCTCAGGGTCCTGCTCCCTCAGGTGTGTCCTAGGTAGACCTCGTCGAGCATGTCGAGGTAGCTGTCGACTCTGGTGCTGCTAGGAGTCCTGCATCTGGGGGTGCTGAGCCTGCGCGTACGGGGCCTGGGGGTGCTGAGCTTGAGCGTGCGGAGCCTGGG